TTTAAACCACAGCTCCCATTTTCAAAGAGATTATTTTCCATCATGGCCCTTCTAAAATGTTTTGCTCTTTAATTTCAGATAAAAATAAAACAGAGAGTACAAAGACATGACTAGAAACATGTTCATGTAGCAGGAACACTTTTCTAAAGAAATCTGAAGGCAGGTTGGTGGATGACGGTAGCTGGAGCTCAAAGTGTGTTGAGGGTTTTGAAAGAAAAATAGGTAGTGAGTAGGAAATGTGAAAGCTGCAGCACACATAAGGCAGAATTCATGCGAGACCCTCAAAGAAAGTAGTTAATGGAGACAACGCACAGTTATTCGAGGGTAGTACATTGGCCCCCCATCTTTCGAAGAAAGCGATGCAGCCTGAGAAACACCTCACTGGAAAACCAGCACTGTCCTCACAGAGCTGGAGGTCCATCTCAGGTCGCCGGGAAACTCCACCCCAGGGCACGCTGGGAGGTCCTGGGCTTGGAGGGAGGGCTCTGGGGAGGAACCTGGGGGAAGTGAGGGAGCAGGCTCTGCAGGGGAGTCAAGCAAGGACAGGGCCTCGGGGGAAGCCTAGGTTTGGCCTCACGCATGGGGCAGGGGCTGCTGGACAGAAGCCTAACCACAGAGCTGTTCTCAACTGGGGCAGCAGGGCTGGCCTTTTGTACTCCACTGCCGGTGACCATCCTTATCTAATTCATCGGAGAGCCATTTTCTGGGCAAGCACGCAGCTGCAGCTGAGTGCAAGCACCCACCTCTCATCCGAATTCCAGGGATGAATGCACTAGGCTGGCCAAGGGGACCTGGGAAGGGCGTGAGCTGCAGCTACTGGAAGGCCTAGGATGCAGAGAGAATGTACAGAGGCAGCCCAGGGAGCCGGCTTGCCGGAGGAATGGCTCCCACAGCCCGCATTTTGAGGAGTGCACAAAGGAAGTTGATCCTCCTTGGGTGAAATCATTGCTCGGATTTGATCGTTACCAAATTGGGAACAAGAGAGCTGGGCTGCGCAGACCTTGTTGGTGAGAACCCTGAAGGCCCACACTGCGCAAGTGTCATAACGGGGGACAGATTTCCCTGGCATTCCCACTACAGCAAAGTAATGCCAAAGTATTCATTCAAATGGAAGTCAGCAGGAGACTCGCAGCGTGTGGGATTTTTGTTTTAAGCAGCAGAAATAACTGATAAAAGATAAGAATCTGGCCCAGGGTAGGAAGTTCTTGTACTCTCGCCCAGCTAAGATTTCACTCGCTGAAACGATGGACGTGCCACAGCGCCTCGTGCCCTGACCAAACCCTCTGAGCAGCAAGGGAAAACGTGGCTCCTGCTTCATTCACTTCCACCTCCCAAATCTCATGCACCATTCCTTTGTGGACGACGTTAACACACAACTACGCCAGGAAGGGCATTCTGGGGAGCACAGTCCTAGCTTAGCTGAAATGATGCAGTATAAACCCACCACAGTCCACCCCTTGGCAACTTGGGGTGTGTGTGTGTGCGTGTGTGTGTGTGTGTGTGTGTGTACCATACTTAACTTCCAGATAAAGGAAACATCATAACTATGCTTCTACCTAACATAATGCAACTATCCTTGCAAAACTAAAAAAAAACACTAACCCTCTCCCCAAAAGACGGGATCTCTTCATTCATCTTTGCATGGTTTTCAATATGCTAACCGAGTCATATTCCTCATTTGGCCTTCTGTAACTGACATACTGAGATGTGAGGTCAGCTTCTGACACATAGTCCATGAGGGGGGAACAGAAGAGGGAGAAAGACGAACAAAAGAGCCTCCCCCCCCCCCGCCCCGCACACACGCTCCACACAACACCGCGGATGTGATGAAGCTTCCCGGTGAGCCACCTGCCGGCCGGATCTGCGGAGAGCCTCTGGCTTATGTTGTTTCTCCAAACACATGCAAAATGAGATTAGTTCCAAGAAAATTAAACCTATGATTTAATTAATATAATTACTTGGACAAAAAAGAAGCGTAATTACCACAAAATAAATGGAACAGAGGATGACAGCCATGTTAGCAATCTCTGACATCATTTGTGATTTTATTTGTAACCTCCTTTAAAAATAAACTGTATTCGACAAGTTTGTCATGACATTCTGGGTTAAAATGTACTGTTTTGATGACTATTTAATGTGTAGCTGAATTTCATATATATTATGCTTATTTTTAAAATATTAAATATGTTAAGTTAAAAATTCATTAAAATATGCCCACTTTGAGATTTAAATATTTCACTGGTAATTGAAATTGATCTGTAGGAAAAATAAATTTGCTATAATTTGGCCTATTAAAACCACTTTTCCTTTTTAAGTATATTTTATGATTACGCTATTACAGTTGCCCCAATTTTTCAACCCTTTATCCCCCTCTGCCCTGCCACCCATTCCAGCATCGCCCCCACCCCATTAGCTCATGTCCATGGGTCGTACGTCTAAGTTCTTTGGCTTCCCCAGTTCCTGGACTATGCTTAACCTCCCCCTGTCTATTGTTTTGCCTACCATCTATGCTTCTTATTCCCTGTGCCTTCCCCCCATTCTCCCTCTCCCCGTCTCCACTGATAATCCTCCATGTGATCTCCATTTCTGTGATTCTGTTCCTGTTCTAGTTGTTTGCTTAGTTTTTGTTTTTGTTTTCTAGGTTCTGTTGTTGATCATTGTGAGTTTGTTGTCATTTTACTGTTCATAGTTTTAGGTCTTCTATTTCTTAGATAAGTCCCTTTAACATTTCATATAATAAGGGCTTGGTGATCAGGAATTCCTTTAACTTGACCTTATCTGGGAAGCACTTTATCTGCCCTTCCATTCTAAATGATAGCTTTGCTGGATAGAGTCATCTTGGATGTAGGTCCTTGACTTTCATGATTTTGAATACTTCTTTCCAGCCCCTTCTTGCCTGTAAGGTCTCTTTTGAGAAGTCAGCTGGTAGTCTTATGGGGACTCCTTTGTAGGTAACTCTCAGCTTTCCTCTTGCTGCTTTTAAAGTTCTCTCTTTATCTTTAATCTTGGGTAATGTAATTCTGATATGCTTTGGTGTGTGCTCCCTTGGACTTTTGGGGGACTCTCTGAGCTTCCCAAAATCTATTTCCTTTCCCAGATTAGGGAAGTTCTCCTTCATTACTTTTTCAAATGAGTTTCCCATTTCTTGCTCTTCCTCTTCTCCTTCTGGCATCCCTATGATTCAGATGTTGGAACATTTAAATTTGCTCAGGGGGTTCCTAGGCTTCTCCTCATTTTCCATCATTGTTTCATCATTCTGTTCTGGTTGAATGTTTATTTCTTCCTTTTGTTCCAAACTGCTGATTTGAGTCCTGGTTCCCTTCTTGCCATTGTTGGTTCCCTGTACATTTTCCTTTATTTCACTTTGTGTAGCCTTCATTTCTTCCTTCATTTTGCGACCAAGTTCAATCATTTCTGTGAGCATCCTGATTACCAGTGTTTTGAACTCTGCATCTGATAGGTTGTCTATCTCCTTGTCGCTTAGTTCTTTTTCTGGAGCTTTGATCTGTTCTTTCACTTGGGCCATATTTCTTTGTTTTGGCACACTTTTCAAAAAAGTCATTTATATGACAATTTATCCAAAATTCCTAATTAAATGGCAAAAACTTGCTTTTTTGTCACAGCTGCTATTATACTTCACTATTGACAATGGGGGTTTTTTTGAGGGGGAATAAAAATAATGATATAGGAATTTTAAGTACAAAGGCTATTTTATTTCAGATGTCGGGAGATAACAATTTGCTTCAACAAGCATTTGAACAGAAGTCTCAGCTGGGTACTATTCAGGATACAAATATGAGTAAGATAATCTCAGGGGACTACCATACTGAAACATAGAAAAGCCGAGTTTACAAATAAGTATAATAAAAAGCAAAGCATACAGTCACTCTGCCTGTTCCTCCCCACCTGGCCAGCTCACTTTCTTCCTGATGCCTTTTCTCTCTCTGTACAAACTTGTGTGGTACTTCTTTCTGTCTATTTTAATTTTGTTTGTTTTTCTAAAATCAAGTATCATAGGATCTCTATTTGTTTATTCCTGTTTCCTCAGCACCTGTCATAGGCACTTAATAGCTTTTTATTGAATGGACCTTATTCTAATTCCATCGACATTAAAAATGGCACAAATATGGTGATCCAGGGGACTTCAAAAGAGGAAGCTCTTCCATGGGGTTGGGCAAGGAAGTAAAATTGTGGGTAACTTTTATTTAAGGTGGCCTTGGGAAAATGGGTAGCATTTTAAAATCTGAGGCACAGGGAATTGTGAGAAATGCAAAAGAGCCACTAAAGTCAAGATTGCTTCATTCCGTCCTCGTCAGACCCCCATGAGGAGGCTCCGTCATTATTCCCATCTTAGAGAGGAGGAGGCTGAGGTTGGTGAGACCCTGTCTGTGGCCCAGGTAGACAGCTAGTAAGGGCTGAAGCCAATATCCTCAGCCAGACAAAAGAAGACAGAAGCGTTTTTCTCTTAACTATCGGGTGATGGGCAAGGATCCATTGCCCTCCAAGACAGGAATTCAAGGCCTATTTGAGAACTAGACAGGGGTAGAAAGCCTGGAACTTAAGGAAGTCATGGCTGCCTAGAGACATACCATGACATGAAGTTTCTCCGGTAATGTAGAAGATTGCAGAACAAAAATTGTGGTAGGACTACACTGACCTCCAGATTACTTTTAAAGCACAAGAGAAACCAAACCATTTGAAAGATGACAGTTTTGGAGACGGACTAGGCCTTGCTCTTGGGCACGCAGCGGCGGGGGGGTGGGGGCGGGGGAGGGAGTGTGACCCCTGGAATTGACTGGACAAGGGCAGCCAATGGGCTCGCTTCCTGGCGAAAACAGCCCCCACTTCATTCATACCCTATAGTCCCTGCAACGTCAGGTCATCCAAGTTGCAGAAACAGCTCTTTTGTTAAAAAAAAAAAAAAAAAACTGTGAAAGAAAGCGAACGTCATCCATGAAATACTGGTATTAACCTGCACTTTCCGAATCCTTCTCCTTCAGGAAACGCGTTTGTGGTGAGCCTGGCCGCGGCGGACCTGGTGGGGGCCGTGTACCCGTACCCCTTGGTGCTGGCCTCGGTACTTCACAACGGGTGGAGCCTGGGCTACCTGCACTGCCAGGTCAGTGCTTTCCTCATGGGCATGAGCGTCATCGGCTCCATCTTCAGCATCACCGGCATTGCCATTAACCGCTACTGCTACATCTGCCACAGCCTCAAGTACGACAAGCTGTACAGCAACAGGAACTCCCTCTGCTGCGTGTGCCTCATATGGATGCTGACTCTGGCGGCCATCATGCCCAACTTGCGCGTGGGAACCCTGCGGTACGACCCGCGCATCTACTCCTGCACCTTCGCGCAGTCAGTCTGCTCCACCTACACCATCGCCGTGGTGGTTTTCCACTTCATCCTCCCCATGGTCATCGTCGTCTTCTGTTACCTGAGAATCTGGATCCTGGTCCTCCAGGTCAGATGGAGGGTGAAGCCCGACAAGAGACACAAGCTGAAGCCCGAGGACTTCAGAAACTTTGTCACGATGTTCGTGGTTTTTGTGCTCTTTGCCGTCTGCTGGGCTCCGCTGAACTTGATTGGCCTGGCAGTGGCCTCGGACCCTGCCAGCATGGGCCCCAGGATCCCAGAGTGGCTGTTTGTGGGCAGTTACTACATGGCGTATTTCAACAGCTGCCTCAATGCCATTATTTATGGACTACTGAACCAGAATTTCAGGAAGGAATACAGGAGAATCATAGCGTCCCTGTGCACAGCCAAGACGTTCTTTGTGCGGAGCACTAATGAGGCAGCCAAGAGTGTCAAGGGCAAACCCTCTCCGTTAACGACCAACAATAACCTAATAAAGGTGGACCCTGTTTAAAATGCAAAGCATCTCCTTGGCTGCTGTGGCTCAGCTGGTTAGAGCGTCCTCCTGCAAACCAAAAGGTCGCAGGTTTGGTACCCAGTCGGGGCACATACACCCACATTGCCCTTCGGTTCCTGGTTAGGGGGTGTATAAAAGGCAACAGATGGGTGTGTTTCTCACATCTTTCTCCCTTCCCCTCTCTCTAAAATCAGTGAGTGTGTCCTCTGGTGAGGATAAAAAGAGAAAAGAAAAGCATTCCTTGCAAGTTATGCACCTTGTTCAAGGTCTTACTAATTTTTGTGTTTGCTTCCCTCTTGCCAGACTTCGACAAAACTAGTGTGGTTGAAAAAAAAAATGTATGCTCTTAAGAGGTTGCCTCTACACTTTCTGAGCTAATCAGTGATCAGCCTTTTGAACAAGTCTCTCATTCTTCTCAAGAGAAATACAAAGTTTGATGCTATTGAAGAATATGGTTCCAGGAGAAAAGGGGGTCATTTTAAGTAAAAATGTTGAATGTATTCAAGTGGAAAAAGTGTGCAAACTATTTTTCATTGCACATGAGTGTCTCAAATATAATAATGGCTTTTTTCTTCCACTTTTTAAAGACGTTTGGTAGGACAACACATGAAGCGTTTTCTTGATAATGAGTAAAGGGGAGAAGTGGGGGACAGGGGGGCGAGTGACTCATTACACAGCCACAGGCTGAACACACACAGCAGCCACCGCTACAGAGTTTGCGGTCAGCAGCGCTGGCATTGGGCAGCTGCAGTCACGTGCACGTTTGTTGCTCTGGAGTACAAGTGCACATTGAACTAGATAAAGAGCTAACTGTATGGCAGAGCCCCTGGTTAGCTGTTAACAACCATAGTGCTTTAAAGCAATGGCTACCCATCAAACTCCATGTGACCTTATTAGACATTCGGCTTATTATTTTTTCATTGTTATTGTTATTGTTATTTGTCATTTGATATTGTTATTCACGTCACTGACCAGCTGTTTCGAACTGATCTCTGTTAACGTCTTTGGTCATCTCATCAGTTTGGTTAAAAACGACAAAGAATCGATCTTTAGACATGGTGCTGAATGTGTTTTAGACTGAAAATCTATTTGGGGCAAGTAATATCTAAACCAGAAAGTTTATCTTTTATAGATATTTCAAAATAATATTCTTTAATCATTTATTTTAGTATTAGATTGCCCTCGTAATACTGAAAGTCTAGGAGAAGAAATAAGCAGGTAAACTATGGTTTTTTTATAAACGGTGGCCCTAGTTTACCCTAAATAGCTATTTGGGACTACTATGAGGTTTATTACACAGGGCGCTTTGCAGGAAATTAGAGTGATGTGCTCTTGTATTTTAAAGTTCTTCAACCAAACTATCACATACTAGAATGGGTTAGTGATTTACAGCTCTATACAACAAAAAAAGTGGTCTGAATGCATTTCTTAATACCTCTGTGTCTAGATAATCACAATCAGAAAGTTCTAAGATCCATTACTGTAAAATGTTCCTTTGATAATTCTTTCCATCAAGCACCTGTGGGAAACACTTATGATTTGTGATGGTGATGTGTTGGGGTGTGTGTGTGTGTGTGTGTGTGTGTGCGTGTGTGTGTGTGTGTGTTATCCCTAAGGCTTTACCCATCAGTTTGCTTATGTGTAAATGTCAGAACCAACATTAAAGAGATAATTTTTAAGCTAACATTCCAAATTTTAGATAACCGAACCTTTACAAAAATTAACCGTGGTAACTGAATTCTTTTTGAAACGCATTACACTTTTTTCCTTGACGCTGGGAATGAATTACGATGCCATAACTGGATGGCGTGACTGCTCTTTATGGAATTACATTTCTTAATTTATACAAAAGAAAGCACTGAAGAGAAAGTGTGCCCTTTAAAACTAGTCTGCCAAGGGAAGTATCTCTCCTGAAAATCAGCTATGGAACTTTAAAGTCTTGACATGTTTTCTTCACTGTCATCAGGAAATTAGCCAGTTCAAATATTAGCAAGGAAAAAGCAACTGATAAAGATGAAAGTCAAAGACAGGGGTTTTCTCTCCCGAAGTCGTGCGGTGGAAGACTTGTAAGCGTTCAGGATTGTATCACCAGTTTCCTCTCTATAGTATCAATAAGGAGAAAGTCCTTAGCTAATGCTGTTTTTTCTCTTGCAAAACTCAAATATTTAACTAGTCGCGCCTGATTTTCCAGGGTAACAATTGTTGGCAGACTATTTGAAAAATTAACTCTTTCCAGACCACTAGATGACTATGACCAAGTGACTGTTGTACAGTACAAATTGGTAAGTGAGTCACATCTCTGGGAAAGTGCCTCACTATTCAAGAGAGCAAGCTCTCATTAAACATGTTGTATTAATCAGCTATAAACCTCTGTTAAGGCAAACTTCTTGAAAATATCAAAATTACTTACCAATATAATAAAGTTTGCCAGCTTTCCCTGTGTCTATCGAAGTACTAGTGTTGACCTGAGGGCCGGCAATGAAAAGAAATAACATTTTGATTGGAGTGTTGACAAATGTTTGTATGTTTGTGTTTGTGTATGTGTTTGTAGATTCATAATACAAGTTGTGAATATTTGTACTTGTCTGTAGCTTGTATCTCTTTGCCCAGGCTGGAGGCTTTGTGAGGTTGAAAGCTATGTTATAAAGGGGGAAAAGGGTGTTTTTCTAAAGCACTCAGTGAGATCTGGGGCTCTGGATAGGAAGTCTACACAAGACCTTTTGAATTGGAATAAAAGTAGTAAAACATCTGTTATTATCTTTTGTAACATTCTATTGTTAGCATTGTGTAATTTATCACCTACACTAATATTCACTGGGAGTGGACAGACCAAAGAATTTGACCTTTTTAATTTATGTAAATCATTTGAATATTATCATTGGAGGGTTTGCCTCAATTGTATTCTCCTACGGAAAATTTAAATCCTGTAGGATTCTTTTTTGCCTTTGGTGAATGTCACTTTTATGCACATGTTCTCACACCCGTTGCAACAGATTAGTTTGGGACACGTTGCCTCTACTTTGTTATAAGAGCTTATAGTCACACACAATACGATTACTTTTGTTTAAAACCAAAGAATGACTGGACACTATAGGTTGGGGAGGTAAAAGGAATAATTCCAGTTTCTCCATTGCACGTTTCACTGGCAAATTTTTGCATGTAGCTCATTCACATGCATAAACATGGTGATTTTTCTGACGAAGCAGCAGAACAACTTGGTTTTAAGTGTTCTGGGAAGAAATATAACAGAGTAACCAGTCTTGGGTGTTAAACCCATAACTGGTCCTTGCGTAAATACCTTCAACCGGACTGTAATGTAAGGAATAGTAACAATGACCACTTTTTGGACTGCCTATGATGCCTCTTCAATTATTTCACTGAGAATAAGCCAACACATTTGGGATATAACAGATACATTTCAAGTCAGCTTAAATCACTGAATTATTATATTTGAGAATTACATGAGCACAACCTTCTTTAAGCAGGCTTTTCTTTTAAAAAAATAATTTTTATAATTTTTTGCACCCTTTTACTTTTCTCAACTTTTATGCTTGAAAATAAGGAATCTCCATTTAAAAAAATATTTTGTGTACGTATAATGTGATTGTGACAATACCAACAGGGTAAAAGTTTGGTAATAAATGTGTATCAATAGATTGTCCGGTGATTATAATAATTTAGAGTGTGTGATATAAGCTGTGTACCACATTCCTGAAATGTTGGGACATAAATGAATTGGATTCACCTTATGCTTGCCCACCACCAGAAGGGCAATGGAGTCAAGTGCAAAATCACTTTGTTTTAAAGTGGCAAAGGGAAATGTACATTCAACTATGGGACATTAATTGTAAAGGAATATGTAATGATGTTGGAATCATAAGCCTTGACTATATCTTGCAATGTTTACCATCTCTAGAACAGAAATACTTAAATTAATAAAAACAATTATTTACAGTTCATTCTAACCGTTAAAGGGTTTAACAAAGAGGAAAGAGTTGTGTAGGCATCTCAGTGTACATGTGCTTCATGTTTTAGCCAGTTGGCTGTTTTGCTTCATCTTTAATGTTGATAATCGTGGGGAACATGAGAAACCTCCACAGCTTTGAAGAGTGAAAAACGTATTGAGATGTTGTGCTGTGTTGTTAGTAATAATGAAATAATGCTTGTCTCTAAGAAACATTACCTTTATCATGAGGACACGCTTCTGTGTTCTGATTACAGGATGTCTACGATTAACGTGCCCATTTCAGAACCAATGAGTTATTGTTGCCTGCAGGCTTCAGTTACTGGTCCTGCCTTTCCTGTGCAAACCCAGTATTCTGGTTGCTGGTGGAACTGTTACTTAGCAGTGAGTGATGCAAGCAAACCTGGTTTCTTTTTTTTTCCTTTTTTTTAAGATTTTATTTTATTTACTTTTTTAGAGAGGAAAGGGAGGGAGAAAGAGAGAGAGAGAAACATCAATGTGCGGTTGCTGGGGGTCGTGGCCTGCAACCCAGGCATGTGCCCTAATTGGGAATCGAACCCGGGATGCTTTGGTTCGCAGCCCACGCTCAATCCGCTGAGCTACGCCAGCCAGGGCAAACCTGGTTTCTTTAAAGACTAGAGAAAATAAATTTGTTTGCCATAAAAAATAAATTTTCCCTTCCATTTCCATGATGTGGTTAACAAATCACTAAAAACTCTTGAAAACTTGTGCCTGGAACGTTGTTGTATCTTCATTGACTCTGTGACCATTGAGCTAGAGAATAAATGTTTAGGCAATTTGAAATCGTTAAGTGTAAGATAACCTGAGTTCTGACATTGTTTTATACTCACACCTACTTTCTTCAGTTTGAATATAAAGTTAAATAAAAACATAAGAAGACTTTTTTCAAAAGATAGCTTATTTTTTATATTTTTGAAAATACAACCCATGATGTGCTATACTTGCATGTTTTCTCCTTTTGTTTATTAATGTCTCCCTTGTTACTGCCAAGGATCCACTTCAATGGAATCTT